GTTGTTCCACGGACACATGTACTACACGCCGCCTCCCAGTGCCGAACGGAGGGCCGCGTCGGCCATACGGGGAACGTGGACCACTTGCTGCACGTCTTGGCCAAGCACGTGGATGCCGCGGACGTTTTGCGCTACGCTTATAATGCCGCCGCGAACGTGTTTTATCACTGTAGATTCGAACAGAGGAGAGAAGAAGAGGAGCAATTGACGGAGTGTAAGAACCTTTTGGAGGCTCGACTGGCAGCGATGGGAGACGAAAGAGGTCGAGACGACAAGTATCTCAAGACTATATTTCACCTGTGAGCCGTAAAGTAATACACGCCTAGTCCGGCAGCCACGCCGACGGCCGTCGAGCTCAACGTAATCGCGGTCATTGCGCCGGACTCCTCGGGCCGAGAAGTAGACAGAGTGTCGCTACGAGTGAAGCTTTTCTTCATAAAGTCGATGCCGAGAGCCTCGGAAAGTTTGGCGAGAGACGTCTCGTAGGTGGTCAACGATCGTAACGCGAGACTTAGCGTGTCGTCGTAGTCGCCAACCTGTTCCTGTTCGAAGACGTCGCACAAGATTAAATAGTTTCGAAGGGTCGTCGCCTGCGTGGAAATTTTTTCGCCGTGTTCGCGAAAAAACTCGTCGGTCGGTAGGCGTTCGTTGGCGAAGGTCGTCATGATTTCGGCCATGGGCCAGAGGTTCCCGTGGCGAAACCAGGTGATTATGCAGACCTTTTCGAGTATCTCGCGGGCGGCCGTCTTGAAGGTTTCGTACACTTCGATAAAGAATCTGAAGACGATCGAGGTCAGTTGACTTTCGAGTCTATTAAAGTTTCTATTTACGTCGTACTTGTAACGGTTTATGTCGTCAGACGGCTCCGTTGCGGTGGCGGGCGGTCGGAAATCGTAAAATTCCTCCAAGATGTCTTTCCTCACAATCTTGGCGTTCGAGCGCAAGTGCGTCTCGAACCTTGTGATTCCCGGTAGAGTCAGGGCGTATTCGGCCGCCAACCACACGGAAAGTAGGGCCCCGTTGAGCCCCTTTTTGCGAAATACTATCTCTTCCCAACACATGTCGTAGTCCAAATCTTTAACGTGGACTCGCCAGTACGGAAAGACGGCGGCGTTGACTTTGCTCCAATTGTTCTTGACGTAAGAATAAAACGAAACTAAATCCATCCTCTATTGTTTTGTACTCGTAACGAGGTGCACGCTCACGCCCGCGGAAAGACCCGTTGCGGCCGACGGAATCACGAGTTTTAATAAGGGGTCGATTTTACGGGTGGAGTCGTCGGTCGTAACGGGTCTGTCAGTGGGCGGTGGCAGCTCCTCATCGGTCGTCGTCGCGAATTTACTACTTCGAAAGTGTTTGGGTAGCAACGTGATCTGCCGCTCCATGGCCATCTCGGCGAGGTCCACCCTGTAATTTGACAGCGTGTCCGAATTGTATATGGACCCGCGTTCCTCTTCCGTGGCTTCCACGTCCAACTTTTCGGTTAAAATTTTATAGTTTGACGTACTCAGATGCGAATGCAGCTCTTCGCCGTACATTAGCATGAGTTGGTCGGTGGACAGGTCGCGACCGGCGCACGCCGCCAACACTTCGGTGAGGAACCAGAGCGCGTCCTTGTGTTCGCTGTACCAGACGCGCACGCACAGGTCTTCCAGTTTGGCCAACTCGATCGTCTTTAGACGGTTCTCGTACACGTCGACAAATTTTCGGACCGTGCTGGACGTGATCGGCGCTGCATTCGTAACTCTAAATCTATCCGCAAAGTACTGGTCGACTTGCCGTTCGTAGCGCCATTTGTTCTTGCCATCGTTTTCTTTGGTCAGTGCGGTGTCGTCGTCGTAAAACGAGTCAAAGATTTCGGGATCCCTTCGACTGTAGGACGGCCATACCGTCTCCACAAACTTGGTTCGTCCCGGCAAAGTCAGGGCATACTCGGCGACGATCCACATGCGAACTTTGGAATTTAGCATATAGAAAAGTTGTTGTCTACTCAGACCTATGAATTCGTACATCTGTATATTCTTGACGTGTTGGTGCCAAAATCGAAAAGTGCGAAGGGCAACTTTGGTCCAATTTTCCTTTACGTAATCGTAAAACCGTTCGTAGTCTTCTTTCAACGCGTCTCTAGACATTTTTGTATTGCTCAACGCGTGATCAAATACGTCCCGACTCCAAGTACCAATCCGATCGCTGTCGAAGGAACGAGGATCGCTACTAGACTACCGACTGAAGGTAGCGGCGTGGCCGATCGGATTCGATTGTTCATCTCTATCAAATCTTGGCGGTAGCTCGCCTCGTCGTTGGTAGACGGTTGCTGTTGCGAATCAAAGGCCTTTTGCAAGAGCCGGACTTGCTCGGGGCCGGCATGAGAATGCAGTTTCTCTCCGTGCAACGATAAGAGCGTCCCGACCGGAATCTTTTGTTTCGCAAATAAGCTCAACGTCTCGGCCGCAACCCACACGCCGTCCTTGTCCAGGGCCCACGCTCGCAAACAAAATCCTTTAAGCTCGAGCGGATCTTGGATTGTGGACAGCGTCTCGTACAGGTTGACGAGCTTGCGGAACGAGGACGAGGTGGGCGTCATTTTCAACTTTGCAAAGTTTCGCTTTCTGTGGTCGGCGTACGTCTCGTCCGCGTGGCGACCGGCAGTGGATTCGCGAACGTTTTGAGATGCAAATTCTCTAAAGTCGACTAGGCCCGGGGTAAAGTCAAAGGCTACGTCGCCGACCTTTTCGAGGAAAGCTCGACGACCGGGCATGGTGAGGGCGTACTCTGCAAAGAGCCAGGCGAGTAGAGCCTAAGCATCCGAACCGACGACGCGGTTCTTGGCCAGTATCCGCGACCACGCGGCGTCTGCGTCCGCGTTTTTGACTTTGGCGAGCCAATACGCGTAGCACATCCAATCCGCATCGGGCCAATTTTCTTTGATCGCATTGTACAAATAGACGTAGGCGTCCATTTTATTATTTATTGAGCATGACGTACCCAGCGTAGGCGAGTGCCGTCAACGACACGCAGTACGGCGAACACAACATTAGGACGACCTTGGTGTCGCCGGCCTTCTTCTTTATCTCCTCGTCTTCGTAGTGAGAAAGAGGAGGTGATGTCTCGTCTTCCTCCTGATTCCTCGGCGCTTCGGAGTATATGTTTCGATTGTAATGTTCGTGCGCGTAGCGCATTCGTCTTTCGTACTCGGCGTCCGAGAGCACGACGAACGAAGCCGATCGATTCAGATCCACCCTCAATGTGGCGTTTAAATTTAACAAATCAATCTTGTAACGCTCCACGTCTCGCTGATTCAACAGGCGAAGCGTGTCTCTATCGGCGACGGCCGGTGCCACGTCTATCTGCTCGGCGACCTCGTGCACAGTGTACTCGCTGATCTGGTGCCAGATACCGTCGAGGTGGCCACCGACCAACAAATCGTCTGCCCTGACGTCATTAGAAACGCAAGTCAACAAGACCTCTACCACTGCCCACTGGACGTTCATCTTGTGTTTCCAAAAGGACATGACCACGCCCTGAACGTCGTGGGGAATCAAGCGCAACAACTTTTCGTACGCATTCTTTAAATAAAGTTTTGCCTTTGGCGTAAAATGGACCCCCATTTTTCTCAGTCCGGCTTCGCGGACGTATTCGTATCGGTCCCTGGTGATCTTGTCCTTCACTGGAGCTGCGGGCACGCGGAGGAAATCGGTCAACTCGCCTTCGCGTGTAGATAACCTGAGCGTAAACCTAGTGTCGAGACTGAACCAGTGTGCGAGCGACGCTTTAAAGTCTTTGAAAGGTGGAAAGGTCAAAATGTACTCTACTAGCACCCACGTCAGGTAGCGTCGTCGCGTCGCTGGTTCCATCTCGGTGGCGGATATTTCGCTCAAACGCGAGTACCAATAATCGTAACATTTATTCTCGTAGCTACTCCTATTTTTGCGAACGTGCTTGTACAGAGCTTCCAAAGAAACACCTTCGACAATCATTCGTACGTATTTTATTAAGACCATAGATACCATCGGCCTTTCTTGCACGGCACGTAGTTTTCGCAATGTCCAGAGAGTGGTGCAATAAACTCGTGCGTAAACTCGTGGTCCGTGTTGACGCACACTTGTCGAGAGAGTCTTCGCAGGTCTCTTCGGTACGCGAGAATGTCCTTCTCCAACTTGTCTCGCTGCACGTTGTCCGGGTCGAAAGACGCACTCAACTGGTCTCGAATGTTGCGCAGCATGTCGTTCCGGATCTCGCCTCGAATCCAGTCGAGATGACCGTCAACGATGTCGTAGACACCGACGCCCACCTTTATGCAATAGAGAAGAATCTCGACGAGAAATCCACTCGGGCCTTGGGCTTTCTCCAAAAGTGCAACACCAGCTCGCGCGTGTCTGCGTCCGACAGTCCGTGCAATCTTTCGTACAATTCCATGAGGTTCGAGACGATTGTCGGAGTAAAATATATGCCCAGCTTCTCCAGGGCAATCTCCACTTCTCTAACGTAGGTGTCATATTCGTCCGAAGAGGGAGGTATCGGCGCAGTCATAAAGTTTTTCAACACTCCTGCGTCGAACTTGTCCCTTCCACCAGTCCACAGGTTGTATCTCGTTTGAAATTCTTCTACCGACGGTAGAGTATTGGCGTATTCAATCACGCACCATTCGAGTATAGTCTTGTCAGACAGTCCCCGCTTGTCCAGTGGAAGAGTAGCGACTCGTACTGGAGCCTGGTCGGCCGAAACGGGATCGCTGTTGACCGAAGCAGCTGGTGTAGGAGCAGTCTCGCACGTGCACGATTCGAGTATAGGCTTGTCGGACGGTCCCCGCTTGTCCGATGGAACAGTAGCGACTCGTGTTGGAGCCTGGTCGGTCGAAACGGGATCGCTGTTGACCGAAGCAGCTGGTGTAGGAGCAATAGTAGCGTCGCGAATCGTGCAATACCAGTAAGCGTAGCCCTGTCGGCTAGCCGTGTATCTGTGTTCGCGCAGATACGTGTGCAAACTGAGGATGTGCATTTTCATAGACGACCGTTCAAAAACGAGTTTAGCTCGAGCAAAGATTTCTTCGTGTCTTTGAAGGTGGACGACTCGTCTTCGCAGACCTGGACCCAATGCGATAAATCGCTCCAAACGTCGGGTCTAAAATACCTACTGTCGAGCAATAGGACGGCCCCCCAGTCGTTCACGTGACGTACGCAGCGTCCCACGGACTGGTTAACCGCTCGCATCGCCTGCGTTTTATACCATTCGTCCCCGTTTCCGCCCCTGCTGCGGTTAAACTCGACCTTGACCTTTACGTCCGGACTGTGATACGACGGATAGGGTAACCCCACGGATACGACGAGTCGAGCCAGCGAATCGGAGAAGTCGACGCCTTCGCTCATTTTGCCTCTGTGCACGACTAGAAACAGGGCCACCGTGCCGGGCTCTCCGTCAATCAACGCAGTCTTGTACCTATCAAACAAGAGGTCCGAGTTTTCAGAATCTTCCAGAAACAGATGCCCGCCGACCACCTTGACCAACTTGGCCCATAGAGGCACTTTGCGCCACACGTCTCGACAGGTCTGAAGTAGCTTGTAAGAAGGGAAGAAGCACAGGACGCCAGCCTTTGTTTCGCCGACGTTTTTCTTCAGGATCTTGGTCGACTCGTAGACGACGGAACCTACGGCCTTGAGTAGCTCTTCGTTCTGGCATGCGCTGTAATTCATGTAAAACTCTTTGTCACCCTTGAGCGAATGCGAGATCCTACGGACAAAGACGTGACGCTTGGACACGACGTGTTCCTTGGCGTACACCTTGTGAGTAAAGAAGACGCCCAATTCCTTTTCGTACGACGACATCGGACTCAGAGTCCCCGAGGCCAGGACGATAGAGTGCGTGCACGACGACACAGACTTCATGGCGTAACTCGAGTTCATGCAGGTCATCCTGAGTTCTGGCGACTGGTGACCCTGGACGACAAACATTGCAAAGCCTTGGGCACCAAATATCTCGGGGTAGTAAAACTGAGTGACGATGCGGTCAATCAACGTGGTGTTTAACCGGTCGGACAAAGGATGTCGAGACGTTAAGGGACTCACGACTTGACCCAGGCTCACGTTGTCCGTCTTGAGGTAGCGTCTCCTGTTGGCCAGGAGATCCTCGCCGCGAACAATCGCATATCCAACGTCGTTCATCATGGCCAGGAGCCCCTCGAAGAATTCGCGAAGCTCGACGTAGCGAGAAAATCGTCGTGCGTACGTCTGAAGCTGCGATCTGGACACTTGTAGGGACATGACGTCTCTACAAAACGTTTCAATGTTGTGCGCCTCGTCGAGGATCAGAATCGCGCCGCTGAGATTGATGTTGAGCGTGCTACGGACGAAGGGATCGATCAAGTAGTTGTAGGGAGCCAGCACTATTTTCGACCTGGCTACGTAGTACTGTTCGTTGACGTAGTAGGGGCAGATATCGTTTGCAGCACAACTCTCCACCAAGTCCTCGATGTCCCTAACGTCGGGCAAACGCGTCTCTGGTCCATGCTGCTCTTTCCAATTGCGGTACAATCGGCACGTCGACGAGGCCCTGTGTTGACTGCAGAGTTGGGGCACGTTACCGCTGTGGACTTCCCGTTCCAAGAGGCAGACTCGGTCCTTGCCGACGAGACGAGAAATGTGCGCGGCGTCTCCGATGAACGCCTTGGCCACCGCTACCATTTGGTCGAGCTGTTGGTGCGTTCTAGAGCAGAGGTAGATTTTGCCGCTGGGTCGTGTCGTTATCCATTCGCGAACGGCTCCGAGCATGGCCATCGTCTTGCCCGATCCGGTAGGAGCTTCTATCATGACGTTGGCTTTTTCTCCGAATCCGCGCAACATTGTTTCAAAGACGTCCACTTGTACGGGGTAAGGTATCCGCTCGCCCGGTAGTACGAGCCGGTAGCGGGGCGCCTCTTCCATACCCGCCAACGTTCGTTTTTGAAACGATTATACCGATCGTTCGTCTCGTCTTCGGAACTATAAATAGTCTGAGCGGAGTGGTTGACCTCGTCGTCCGTAATCTCTCCCTCCACTTTTTCATCGTCGCCATCGTTCCATTCGTCTAACACTATCCATTCTTCTTCTTCTTCTTCGACCTTGGTCATATCTACGTCGTTACTCATGCTTACGCATACCTCGGATCTACGCTCTCGTACAGGCTCATAAAATCTCGATGCACTCTGGCGTTTTTCACGGTGCGTGGCTCGACGACGCTGCAAACGACTCGATCGGGAGGCATGTCAAGCAGGTAACTCAACTTGCGAACGCAGGCCACAAAGAAGGTGAGAGAGTCGGTCAGAGTCAGACACAGAATCTTGCTGGCCTCTTCGTAGCGAAAGGCGGTCGCGTTCGCGTACACTCGACCGCTTTCGTACGTGTAGTCGCAGATCACCGAACCGAGGGCGCTTGCGTCGTCGCGGTAGAGGCGAAAGTCGATGTATCGACAGGCCGTCTTGAGGTACCAGACTTCCGTCCGAACCAGTCTCATGTAGACGTACAGGTTGAGTCTGTATCTGTTTTTCGTGCGGCTATGGAATCGATGCAGCGCTGCGCCTACCGTCATGAAGGGGCGGCCGACGAGAAGGATCGTCGCCGCGTGCATAGTCTCCAAGGCGTAGAGAAAGTCGACAAAGACGCTGGAGTCGCCGGGATTTCGAAGTCCGGTCGCGATGGTGTTTGCCAGGTTGTCGTAGTATACGCGTAACATGATTGTAACGTCGATTTCAAATAAAAAACTGAAGTTTCCCGCTTATATCGTTAGAGGAGATAGATGGTGAGAATATGGCGCGCATAAAAAACGCCTCAAACAACGTGACCCGGCAAAAGAGGACGGTAGCCAAGAATAAGAAGAAGCAGCAATTGGACAGTCGACAGCCAACGACTGCCGTGGACGACGTTCTCTGTAAGAACGAATTGCGTCGATTGGCCAAGGAGATGGAGATCGATCGCATATCAGAGAACGTGTACGGTAACATGCAATTCGAGGTCGATAGATTCGTCACCGAGGTCGTCGGAAAGGCCGTCGTCTACGCCCAGATGCAACACCGCAAGACGCTTTTTGTAGATGACGTGACCCGAGCTCTTTCCGAATACAACATCAAAGTTTACGGCTGACGTCCAGGACTAATACAAAACACCTAACAATGTCTAATAAGAATAACGTTATACTCAAGAAGCCTCCTTCTCAGTTTGAAGAACGACTCGAAAAGTCGATGGACGACTATTTGCGAGTGCACATTAAAGAATTGTACGATAGAGCCGGGGCGCACACGGGGTACAGGACTGACAGAGAGATAATGAAAGCCGCGTACGATTACATCGTGGCCAAGTATCGCAACGTTATACTTGGTCTATTTAACGACGTGACCCGAATGAACGACGTGATTAACGAATACACCGCGTTTCTTCTTCACTTTAAGAGGTCCGCCGAGCTCAAGGCCGAACACGAGAAGGTGGCCGTGCCAGCCTTAAAACACGTCATCGTCAGAATGTAGAGATCAGAACAATCTACTCGGCAAGTTCCTGGCCACGGTGTACACGCGAGACAGACTGAAAGATGCCGGCGTCGAGGTGGTCATGAAGACCGAGGAAAAAAAGCTGTACGACGCCGACCTTCACGACGTAGACAGCCTGATCGAGACCTTTTACGACAAAGGTCTGGACTATGTCGGCGTCGAGTCTTTAATTTCCAGCTACAACTCGAAGCTGAGGGGTGTCGGTACCAAGAGACGACTTTCGGACGACGCTAGACCGTCTCTTCGGGATAGCACGAACGAGTCGCCGTCGACTCCTCCTCCTCCTCCCCCTCCTCCTAAGGAAAGGACGCCCATGGAGAAGGAGTCGAGCGTCGCCCAAACATCAGCTCAGACTGCGGCGGAGGCGGCCAATAGACGGCGGTCGGACGACGCGATACCGTCTCATCGGGATTCGGCTCCTCCTAGGGAAACGACGCCCAAAGAGAAGGAGTCGGGCGTCGCCCAAACGTCCCCTCAGACTGCGGCGGAGGCGGCCAAGAGACGACGGTCGGACGACGCGATACCGTCTCTTCGAGATTCGGCTCTTCCTAAAGAAACGACGCGCAACGAAAAAGTGTCGGACGTCGCCAAGACGCCGTATCAGACTGTTGCAGCGGAAGACGAAGGAAGCGGTTGGCTGTACGTCGTCGGTGGAGTTGCCGTCCTGGCCACAGCGGGAGTCGTGACTTACGCGGCAATGACCTATTATAGAAATAAACGCGCTAAAGGCGAAAACGTGTTTCTGTAGCTGAAATAAAAAAATGACCACCGACAATCTCTTGTTCAAACCTTTGAAAGCCATTCCCATAGGGTTTGAGGCAAGGTTGGAAAGTAGAGTCGACGACTACTTTAAAGATTTTTACTACGCGCTGTACTCTAACGCTGGTGTCGAAACTACCCGTTACAAAGACTACGGCGACACGGCCAATCGCGTGTTTGATTACATTGTGGCGAACCACGCTAACGACATTCGAACGGCGTTGTACGATCCGAAGCGAGCCATAGACTTGGTCTTTTCCTACACACTCTATCTCAAGAGCATTCAGTCCAAGGTCAATTCGCTGGCCAGCGAGAAATACAAGCCCGGGTTTCTGCGCAACGTACTCATCCCGGCCCTCAAACACTTGATCTACAGAATGTATAAGGACCCAAACAACGTCCTGGGCGAATTCATGTACACAGTCAGGACCAGGGACGTGATAAAGCAGTACCCCGAGGCGTTGGGCGTGGAATTTGCTGGCGACGACATGCTTAGTAATTTGTACGACTTGGACGTGTACGACCTAGATGCCGTGGACAAGTACTTGTACGGCATTAGCGGCGGAATGTACTACGACGTTAAAACCAATACGTTTAAAAAGTACAACTCTGTGCTCGAGCGATACCAGTCCCAGATCTGGCAGGATTCCGTTCTAAAGTTTAAGCGACTCTTCGAAGAGTGGTGCAAGAAAGTCACGCGGCACTCTTCGTGGTCTAGCCAGCATCCAGCGTTCGATCCACTGCTCCGGGCCGTTTTCGATGCCGCGGGCACGCCGCAGTGGGACGCGGCGCTCGTTCGCTGGGTCGCCGCCGAGGAAGGTCAGACTCTTCGCATTTACGCCGAGTTGAAAGCCAAGGTTGAATATGCCCAGACCTTTATCGACGAAAAGTTTTCTCCGGAACTCTTGAAAGCCGTTGGCGAAATCGCAAAGATCGACAACGTCAAGCGGTTCGTCTTTCTCTCCGCACCTACGCTGTCGCCGACCGAGTTGCAGGCCATACTAGACGCGTTCGAAAAGATTTTGAAGAACTACACGGAGCACAAACATAGGGACGCGCTCGTCTGGGCGGTGACCCATCCGGCCGCGCACAAAGTCCGCGAAGAGGAAGAGACGAGGGACTTGTTTAACAAGATTAAATCTGACGAGTATTTGCAGGACGGTAGCGCCTTCATAACGTCACTATTGGCACATTACGCCAAGTTTCGGAGCCTAGAGGATCTCCTGAGAGAATTTGCTAGGGACCTCGATGCCGTTCGCAAGGACGCCGTCTTGAGAAAGCGCTGGCTGGAGAACGACGAGGAGGACATTAGGAAGGCCTTGATCGACGTCGACTGGAAGGTGCTCTACGAAAAATTTGAGCGATTGAAACCGCACCTGAACGAGTTACGACGACTACTCCTCGCTGGCGTGGGCGATAGCGGCGACGTCGATGAAAAAATGGAAAAATTGGGACCTTACTATCCTTTAATCGCGAGGCACGGCAAATGTATGTTTGACGAGGCCGACGCCGCGTCTCTGTTTGCTCACGCCACCTCCAAAGGTTTGTACGAGTGGAAAGTGCGTCTCAAGTCAAAGTTTCCCAAAGACGATTTCGATAGACTCTATCGGCTCGTACAGGAACGCCACAGAGACTACGAAAACATGAGAAAGTTTCTCGGTGACAGCGGCCTGCTTAGTGCCCCTCCGCTCGTGAAACTGCCTTCGAGCGTACCAAACCTAAAGACTTGGAACGACGCGATCCTGGCCACCATGAACGCTGCGCCCGAACTATGGATCGAAAAGATAATTAGCCAGTCGAAGTGTAACTTGCAGACGCTGCGCAAAAATGTTTCCGAACTCAAATCCCTAATGACTACGGAGCGCGAACGTAGAGATAAGATCCGCGAGTGGGGAATGAGCGGACCCATCGATAGATACCCGCAGACGCACGAAAAGGACCCAGTCGCCTTTGGCGAGTACGAGGGTTTCGACAAGGATTTGTTGGACAAAATCAAAGCCCCGTACGACATTGTAGCGACGGTGGAGTTTGATCGCATTCGAAAGGCGCACGAGAATTTCGAGCGGCACTCGGAGATTGTGAGGCGAGCTCGGTCGGCGGTCGCTACATTGATAGAGGCGAACAAGGAGTACGTGAAACACGTCGCGACGTGGGGCAAGCACCGCGCTTCCTTTTTTCCGTCCACCGAGGCGTCGCGCGAAAGCGTAAACAATCTCTTTTCGACGAGATCGGCAAATGGCGAAAACTATTGGGAGCTGCATCGAGACCTCGGGGTCGCGCAAATCACCGAGCTGTTGCACGCGGCGCGAACGGCGTACTGGAAGACCAAGCAGTTTAGTCTGGAAGCTCGAGTGAGGGTCTACCTGCGCAATCTCGTCGGCACCTTGCGCGTTTCGCAAAGCGCCGTCTCTTCCAAACTGTCTAGATTCAAGGTGTCGAGTCTGCTGAAGATGGTCGATGCGGAAGACGACGACGACTGGAAAATCGAATTTATCCGCTGGACCGTGGCGAACGAGGACGCCGACGTCGCTCGCAAACTCGTCGCAAAATCTTACGACGCCATGTGGAGGCTCTTGCGCGAAAGAGTGACGGTCGAGTTTTTCGAGTTTTTGCGCGAGGCCAAATACGCGGAAAAGTGCGTGGACCGCCGATTTCTACGGCTAGAGGACACAGTTCTGGAAACTTTTAGGGAGCGTCTCTTTCTCGATTTCGCCGACGAGACGGACCTGAGACCAGAGCTAGAGGCGTGGCTGGCGTGCCACGCCGCCTACGCGTAGATGGTCGACGCGGTCCGCAAAGAGTTTCCCGACCTGACCCGAGTCGAAAATCTCAAAGTGCACGGATCGGAA